CTATCTATCTATCTATCTATCTATCTATCTACCACTGACAGACTTATAAAGTGTAGAAACAACGCTGTCTGGTGTTGGATCAATTATGCCTTATTTTTGGGCTCTGTTTCATCTAGTTGCCTTGCACCAAAACCTGCAGAAGAAGATAGGACAAATATTCAGTGGTGGATATCGTGGCTAGGCTTTGTAACAAGTCTTTTTTGGAATGATCGAGTCTTCTGTCGATCCCATGGAGTCTTAGTAAGGGTCGCCAGTATAGCCAACCTTGCAGTAGCCAGATTTGCAGTTTTTTGGAACTGATTTTAGTTTAGACCTCCGAATCGTTTTCAATCGAAATTCTCCCACCATATATTTTAATCAATATCAACGGCGAGTATTGAGGTGCGTATTCACCAAAAAAGCGAGCACGAGCGAACAAGAGTGAATGAGCATTCTGCCTCAATAATCGTCTGGTGAGTACGGGCTAGCGAGCGAGCGAACGTATGCTTGTCCGCGTTCAGAAAAGATCGAGAAGAAGGCGATACATCAAAAGGTGCTCGCACAAAGTAGATGAATCAACTACGAGTACGAACTTGAAGATATTTGCTCTGGTGTGAACGAGACATCAATATGTCAAGCAAACACGAGCGAACATGAGCGAACACGAGCAAACATACACGAATGCTCTCTCGTGCTCGCTTTCTTTGTGAATACGCACCTGTATGCGAACTTATTGCAACGTTTGACTGAAAAACAGCCGTATTTGGCTAAGAAAAAAATGTTGTTTCATTAAGACAATGCACCAGCTCACAAATCCATTACACCAATGACTAAAATTAACGAATTAAAGTTTGAATTGCTTAAAAACAGTTAACATCAAGTTATTTGAATGTAGTTTCAGTAGAATTGAATAAGGTCGATACTTGAAACTGAAGACTTCTTAGAGGGAGACTATTCGAATTTGAAAATAAGAATGTTTTCTTTCACCTTGAAATGTGTTACTGAAAAGTGTTTCCCGTTTTTCAATAGTTATAATATGTAATAAATTCAAATTATATCAAAGTAGAATGGGAATTTTTAAATTCTCATTGAATATTTTCTGGAAAAATCGGAATAGCGCTTCTTGAAGTGGTCCTATCCAAAATAAAGTTCAAAATTACACACTTTTGGGATGATTGTTGATGGTTTTTGGGTCTCTAACCGCCTGCAATCAATATAGAACAAAAACCGTTTTTCTCCCCATGATGGAAATATAAAATACAACTTTTCGACACCTTTTTTTTGTTCAGTTTGAAATTAAAGTTGTATTTGTAAAACGAACGCCCCCTTCTTCCGCCTCAACTCCCTAGTAGGAGACTCTGATCGATGCTAGTTGCAAACGTGACTGATGACTATGAAACTACAGCGCCCCCTCGCGAGATGCTTGCCTAATTAGGGTTGAATAATTAATAGTTGGAAGTTGGCAATTATCCATGAGTCTTCTGGGATGATATCAGACAAGAATTAGAGGAGGGATTGATTAGATTAGGTGTGTAGTGTGGTGTAGATTGCGTGTATATGCAGAGTTTGACAGTCTTAAAGAAGTCAATCGGATTATTTGTTTTTCCAGTTTGATGATTTTGCGAATTTCATATTTTGTTGAAAATAACTTTGACGGAGCTTTTATAAGTAGAATGTTTTTTGTTTAGAAAACTGACCCGTCAGTTTAAATTGTCTATTGGATCAATATAGTCTCTATTATATAGATCAAATATTTTAAATGTTTTTATGAATTTTATCTAGCAAGGTTATAGAAAGTAGTGCCACAAAACCTCAAAATGTTGTCAAAAAAATTCCATTTCTTAACGAAAACTTTGTTATTTAGCAATACCATAGTACCCAGTATGATAAAACCACCAGTTCGCAGGAGAATTGATATTATCTATTGCTAAATTGCTCCTCGATTGGAAAGGCTCTAAAATAGTCTTTCTCAAAGTTGGCGATAACGCACCCTTGTGGGCGTTGGAGATCTATAGTGGGGCAGTAAAGGGCTCAGAGAAGATTGGGGGGCGTTCAAGCGGTTCAGGGGGGCGATGGCTAATTTGAAAATGTTTGTTTTGCTTTTAACACAAACTTTACCGTTCCTTTACGCTTAACGTGCGTTTCCTCGTATAACGCCATCTAGGGGGACTAGACAGTAACTATTTCCTGTCTCTCAATCACTGCAATATTTCATCAAAGCAGTCAATAAAATCTGAAACAGCTATTCAAATGACAGATTATTTAATCAGCTTTGTGTTGCTAATGATGAATATTTCATCCGATTGCTATTTCACAGTGAAATGCGTTGGTTATCAAGAGGTAGGTAACTGTCTTACTCAATCTCAATTTTACAATCTATTTGACTCAGTAATAGAGTAATAGAGAAAACAAAGACAAAGAATGGCACGATAACCTCATCACTTCAAAGAATGATATTGCGTACTTGACAGACCTGTATAAATTATTCAATGATATCAATCTCCAACTTCAAGGTGACGACTTTGATTAAAACAAAAAATGTCATTGCTGCTTTTGTAGTCAAATTGCTCTTATATACAAAAATAATAACGGCAGACGTGAGTTTCGCAATTTCCCTAATTTGTCAGCAGTATCCTTCAACAACGACGACTTGCTTGTTCACTGCCAACATTTGGAGAACCTCCACAGTGATTTCGCAGAACGATTCCAGGACATTTTAAAATTGGAAATACCGGACTGGGTGTTGGATCCTTTTTCAAATGTCAACACAGCAGGAACACCCCAGCTGGAAGAAGAACTTGTTTGTTTCCTCGTTCGAGGAAACAAATATAAAATTCAAAAATGGATACCAAGAATTTTGGCTACAAATGCCAATCCCGCAATTGTACTCTGGAATGTGGTCCATCTTTCAACGATTTTTGATAACATTCCCATCATCGTATTTGTGTGAACGTGGGTTTAGTGCTGTGGCAACGTTGCTAACTAAAAAGAGAAATCGGTTGCAGAATACCGAACGCGGTGACTTACGGCTGTTTTTGAGTAAATTCGAGCCTGATATTAACAAACTTGTTAAAAATCATCAAATGTATTCTTCACATTAGATTAGTTTTGAAATTCATATTGGGATGAATAAAAGTTTTCCTAATATTACAAAAAGGTGTTTTACATTAACCTCATCAGAAAGTCTTATTTTCACATGACACACATAATTTAATTATTTAAATAATGACTGTGATTGTGATTCTTAAAATGTAGTAAAGTGAAAAAAATTGCGGGGTGCTAGAAAATAAATAATTTTCGAAGTGGGCGGTAGACAAAATAAGTTTGAGAACCTCTGCTCTAAAATAACAAAGTATGAATTTAAAAAAATTAACAACCAACTCAAGTGATATTCGTAAAAATTGTTTCCTGAAATATTATCAGCATTGATATGAGATTCTCAAATTGAATCGTAAAAAGCGTTTTCAGTTTCTTTCATTATTTCATCGCCTTGAAAGAAATATTCTATATAACATTGTTCCGAATTGGTATTGGTATTTCAATCAAAAGAATTGAACAATGTTACATCATTCCCAGGTTATCGAATTAATTTTGTGATTTTTTACATGTATTGTTATGCTTATGGGTTTTACTTGAGTCTTTTGTAACAAACATAGCAAAAACAAATACGATGACAGCTTCATCCGCACACTCAGTATTGCTGTGACGGATTCGAGGAACATGAAAACTGCACAGTATAGTGGTTGGTCTGCTGGGATGTGGCATTATATTTTCCAACTTCTGATAGCATTTCACAAAAATATAAGATAAAGACTAATATTGATCTGCTGATTTTGCAAGAAGCTATTTCTACCGCCACCTCATATAGTTTTTTTTCCATTAGCCTATCACATAGATCCATTTTTTCAGACCGCAATTTAAATATCTTTTAACGGCACATCGTTGATGGATTGACATAAATTATATAAACGTATATTGTAAAATAATAGATAAGGCAAAATTGTAAAATTAGTTTAGGTTGGTATACCTGTATGGTTGGTACGCCTGGATGGGTTACCTATATAGCATAAATAGGGTTAGCTCGCATTAGTTTCTAATTTTAATCTTCCTCTTTGAAGATGATCACTTGGTGATCGAAACAGGTGTCGAAGTGTTAAAAATAACGGTTTGGTGTTAGGAAAAAACTCCAGTAATATTCATTACTACACCAAAGGTTCCAAACAGTGCATCATAATATACACAACTGTTATTTCCATACATGCATATATGTATAAAATAGTTCAAATATGTATATGTATCACATATATAGAAACATAATCTTTTGAAATAGGAACGAACCATTGAACTTATAAATCTGAATTGACGTATTCTTTGCCGGGTACATATCTAGTTATCATTTTGATTGAAAAAAAGCAGGCAGAGAGATATACAGTTTTGCTGCATTATGAGAAAAATTTCTGGTGAATTTTAATGTGATATGCCTTACTACTATCGCAGTGAGGCAAAACCACCAATTTCTCACGCAGATATATGTTGGTTTACCTATCAGAAAACAATATTTTGTGGGTTACTGATAGGAGGTGCATTTCTATACTTTGTTTAATTCAGTAAACCAGAGTTACAGAAAGAGGAGCTAATGTTCTAGAACTTGCGTACCTATGCCATTTATGTTTTTTGTTGTCTCAGAACGTTGAAAGATACTTCTCAGAATGATCGACGTCAAAGACCAGGATTTTTACTCTCTTGCACAAAGTAGATCAATTCGTTAGTCATGTAGATAGACAACAATTTTTCTACACCAGATCATTTAATCCTAGGTCCAAAAAGAATAATTTGCGTTCAGTCGAGATAAATCCTAAGTAAGATTTCCATTTCTTACGATTTTTTAGAGAAATGCAAAGAGTATATTTTTGCGCATCTTTACTCAGTATATTGGTAGTATCGCACCACTTGGCTCACCATAACTGATATCATTAGCTACAAGATAACTGTCCTCAACTAACTCTATGTTATTGTTTTAGCAACAAAGGACAGACCTTCCTGGGATACTCCGACAGATGCAGTCTCAGCACCTGCCGACGCATGCAGCGCCACCTATCCCCATGATGCCCCACCCAAGTTTGGCGGGTGCGCCGCCTAGCTCCGCCGCTAGCCTCTTGGGGCTCTCGGGGGCCCTGCCCGCCCAACACCCGCTTTCCATGTTGGCGTCGAAGCCGGACCTGCATCGACCTGACGATAAATCGAGTAGCGGTGAGTTGATCAAAACGAGGGGTCGTTCGTAGTGAGCTTGTTGGATAATAATAATGATATTGACTTGACAAGAAGATACAGTAGATACATTGTGACCAGTAACGTCCGTTATCAATTTTTCTTAGAGATAGCTTCTTTCGAAATTTGACTTTGGTATCAATTTCTGCGTCCATCGAGATGAAAAATAACCCGAAAAATGTACTCACGTGTTAGCGTTATCACTGCAATTGATGTGTATTACTTTAATGACACAAACTATCTTTTGGAAAATAACACATGGGCTGGAAAGTCCCGGGCCTAAGAAAGAAAACGTGTTTTTTGTTCAAAATTAGCTTTATTCATAAACGTAATCTCCACCGAGAGCCACACAATCATTCCAGTAGAACAATTTATCTTTTGTCTCAAAATAGGCCTAAGTTTCAGCAATAACCTCTTCATTCGAACGAAGTTTCTCTTCAATGAGCATTTTTTGAGGTCTGCGAACAACCAGTAGTCGCTGGTAGCCAAATCTGGCGAATACGGTGGATGTGGGAGCAAATAGAAGCAGATGACGATCATTTTGATTCTGGAGTGAAGTGATGGATCCATCTTATATCTATTGTTACATATCGACGCAATAATTTTGGTTTGTTATGTTTAAACATGACCAAACATTGCTCAGAATCATCAAAACGTTCCTGTTTTTGGTCACCAGTGAGCTCGCGCGGCTCCCACTTTGAACAGATCTTTCGCATGCTCATGCAGTACGAAGTCAACACTTTCGTTTGATATCTATCTTTACATTGCCAGCTCACTCACGCAACTTCACATTTCCATCATTCAAAACGATTTTGTGAATTTTTTTATGTTTTGGACCTCTTTTGAACGACCACTCTGCATCATCTATGTCTCCACGACCACGTTTGAAGTCAGCTAAACGTTCAATTGTTGTTTCTGATGGTTAGATCTAACTGAAAAAGCGGTGAATGCAATAAGACTAGTGCTATCTATGTGTTAGGCCCGAGATTTTTAGCTCATGTATTAGATATTTCATGAAGTTTCATTATACAGGGTTAAAAACAAATGAAATTTGCATGTCCTGTGAACACTTTTTAATAGCTTTATTTCGATTTTGTAGAAAAATTAAATAAACATGGCGCTGTTTTGATTTCTGATCTTTCCTTTTCCTATATTCTTCATCATATTCAAAATGAAGGGTTGCCTCAAGTAAAGCGGAGTTTTCGATATATATTTTTCATCCTATCCCTCTATTCCTTATTGTAGTTGACATTCGACTGTTGCAAAATATAACTGGACACCTAGAAAGTCTCTCAAGTATTTGAATTTCTGCAGTAGCTCCCTAGATTTTTGAGAACGGTGTTTATTCGTGAATCCCATCGTGAATGCCGATCTAGCTCCAACGTCGCATCTTTCGGTATTTCATAGCTGTCTACTTTTGTTAGAGGTTTTATATTCGGAAGCCCGTTATAATGAGAAATGAAAAGTTTTCTAGAAATTCAGTGTGACTTTTTGAATCGAAAACATTTTTTTCTGTAATGTAATTCTCAACAACTGGTGTGAGATCCTGTCGTGTATTAAAACTACACAAGATAGTTGTCCCAACTGTGGAAGTTTGGATTATTTCCTTCAGTTTCCATTTCCAATAATTCATTTATATTAATCGTGAATAATAACGGCATTGATACCTCTGAGGGACTCTACAAGAAACTTTTCTATAATCACCCCAAAAGTTGCCCAAAGTTGGGTTCATTGGATAATTGATCAGTTCGTTAATTCCGAGGTGGCGAAGGTATTGGTTAAAAATGGGCACTCCAGAAGTAGAATTTGACTTGTAGTCAAACAAATAAATCAGCTATATAAAAGGAAGGTTAACTATGAACGTTCAACTGCAATCTTTCTCTTTTGATAAATCAAAACAAAATCCTATATCGTTCGTCGAAGCGTAGTACATGTATTTTCATCATCAACAATTTTGTTAATCAGTATTGAAAAAATGAATTTCCAAAAATCCGTGAGTCTTTGTTTTTTCCCGACAACTGTGTTTTGTTTCGATTGACATGAAAATCTGTTTTACCTAAACAACAGCGCATCTGATTATTCATGAAACTCAAATTGTTTTATCAGACTCCATGAATAATTAAAAATCCGCACATCGCGTCATTCAACAATGCAACATAGGTAAAAAAAGCCAGTAGGGATTGATTTCGATTGTTTTTAAAACCCTTTGATGTATTTTGTTGTGCATGCGAAGCCAAAAAAATTCATTAATCTGTCAAAACGCCCCCGGTTTCAGTTTTGAAATGCATTTCACCAGTGATGAAACATTGATTGGTGTCTAACTTTGGTTTCACAGGAACAAATGCGGATGTCATGATGTTGTTCAATATTTGATGATGGTCTGTGATTAACGTTTATGTGGATTATGGAAAAATATTGGCATCATTGAAGTTAGAGTGTCTATACTTTTACATAATAATGATACCCTCTTTTCAGACATAATACATATACAATATGAGCCTAATTAAGAGTGCAACATTGATAATTTGTTATAATTAAAATTTCAAAAATTCTTTGATTTCAAACTGCTTGTTTGAAGGGTGCCTAGAAGATGACAGTACTACCAACTGTCGAAAGCGCTCGCAGATAATTTATAGAAGATATAAAGCTTCAAATCCTTTTTGTAGAATTTAATATATATATATAAGCTCATTAGAGTTAAAAGTTTTTTATCTTTCAAAAATTGATTTTCAAGAATCTCGTCTCAATGTTGCTTTCTGTGCAATTGAAACATTCTTATTAGTTGTGTATTTTTTTGCCGTGCTCTCTAGGATTTTATGCCGGACGTTTCGTCTACTATTCCGGTAGTCATTATCAAAGGCGATGTAGTAACAGTGACAGTGATGAGCTAGTGCTCATGTTGTTCCGAACGAAATTTTATCCTCATACATGTAGCATTTTTGCTATGATGCTTGTAATTAACTCCTGTTTTATATTATTATTAGTGAGGGTATCTTGGTTTCCCTTTATTGATTACCTGTCCTTGTATGTGTACCTCTAAGGACAGGTAGCCAGATTTTATTATTGTGCACTGCCTCTTATTTTCCATTGAAATTAGCCCTGTGCTTCTGAATTTCTATCGACCCTCTATCACAGATTAAATACAGATGCGACAGCTTTGATGCCGCCTTTGATATTCGATGGCTCAAAATTCGTAACCTTGAATATGATGTGTATACCACCTCGATATACACGGAGAAAAAAGTGAGGTTGATTTCAACGATTTCCTCTTGAAGTATCTACACTGAAAAAACATGTTTTCTATATTCACAGAAAAAGTTATGGTATTTTTGTGATACACTATAATGAAATAAAGAAACTGGCATATTGACAAATTTGATTACAGAGATAAGTAGATATCATCAATTAAGTTCAATAGTGAAATTTGATAAAAATTTGGAATATTTTTAATCATTTTGTATATTACAAAAAGTACACTTCTTATTGGTTGAGATAAATTTCGTAGATAAACGAACAATACAAACAGCAAGCAGACTAATTTGTTGGAGAGACCATACAATTTGAAGAAGGTGAAGAACTCTGACCTGGGACTGGAAAAAAACTGTAATGTAATTCATTGTAAGGGTATATATGTTTGATAAAACTTTTGTTTTACCCTAATTTCTTTTTAAACTGGTACATACTACCAAACTGGTTCGTCGGTTTGTCTTGAGTTGCTAAAGGTTCTCTGGGATCCTTATTCGAACAAAGAAGAAGCCCAAATGATAGACTCTCCATTCAGACCGTAACTTTCTAGAATATCCAACAATTTCACATGGTTGACGCAGCCGAAAGTCCTGCGCAAATCACATAGAATTGCAGCAGGACACTCGCTTGCGTCGATAACCTTCACTGAGTGATCACGAAAATTCAGTAAAGCTATTTGAGTTGTTTTTTTTTATCGAAAACCATGTTGATTCGACTACAGACGCCACCTTTCTTTTAAAAAATTGAAGGGAGGGAGATGGTGTAATACACCATCCCTTAGCTGAAGTTATGATAGTGATTTTGACCATTATTGAATCGATTAGTAATGTAGGGAATGTGAAAGTGAGATAATATATGGCATTGAAAAGACCCTTCGCACATTCGTAATAGATATCAAAGGTAATAAACCCAGAAGGAAACACCCGATTTCGCAGGAAAAGCCAACTCCATCAACCCCTCGGAATCATCCCTCCGATATCGCCTCAAAAAATCCCATTCAGCTCTTCGGATGAAAAATTCTCATACCTTGAAATTCTCCTTCCAGCCAGTTTATCTCAATAATTCCACGTTGATCCCCCATCCCTTGGTCTCTTCCACAACTCCGACGTATTCTAACGTCGAATGAAGTGGAAAAGAGGAACATCTTTTGAATCCATCAGACAGGTCGTTCGGTATTTTATTATAAAGTTGGAGGAGAAACAGGGTTGGATTTGCACGGTGAAACGAGAAAAGAGGGTTAATGCTACTGTGGAAATTTCCTCCTCATACGTGTAGGATTTTTGAGGGGTAAATTGTGTTTCACTTGTGTTGATGAAATAATAAACATAGAAAATTAGTTTTGAGAAAAAAATACAGTTTGACAATTACGTTAATCATGGATAGACAGAGAACTTTCATGTCTATAATTCCCGTGTTCTATATTTTTATTTTGAAATTTTAATAATAATATAATATAAAGTCCTACTAACTGATTCTACTGAGTTACAGAGTTCAAAGAGTTTTTAACAAAGTTATAGAATATTATCGAGTCTCTGAGCTAACGTAACTTTATTCCATTTATGAAGCATATTAATTTATAACACTAATATTGTGGACTTGATTGAGCATGCCATTATATAAGATTCAAAATCGATACTCTTCGAGTATACCAACTTACAAACAACCTTTCCAACAAACTGACATAAAATATCAAGGAAATAGGATTTGTTCTAAAGTTAGGATAAAGTTAGGTTGGA